ATAATATTCATTCATGCTGTAAGTGAAAAAACAATGGCTTTTATTTCATAAGAGATCTATTGCTCCCAAAATAGCACCAGCTGCTAAAAAAGGATAATCTAAAAAATTTGTAGTCGACTTCTTTTACAAAAGATTTTGATTTCTATTTTCATTAAAAATTTGTTTTTGCTTTGCATTTTCTCAATTTCAGACGTATTTAAATCAGATTCTTTCGAGGATTTTTATGAAAAATTTTTGAAAAATGCTGCAATAGAAAAACCGCTTAGAAACTTCTTTCTCAAAAGATCATCAGAAATGCTTGATTTAGACACTTATTTGGATGAGCTGTAAACCACGGTCTGGCTTAGAAACGCCAAGAGTTTTGTACTCTTGAGTAGATCACTTTCCTCGGTTTTATTTAGGCGATTCGTCATCAGAGCCAATTTGCGACGTCAATATCGATTTCGGTGAAAATGTGATAATTGCATATGGTCCATGGGCTGAAGCTTGTCGCGTGGCTTTCGTTAGCTATTTCTTTCCAACCGATTACGCTAACGCTGTTCCAACGTACGCCCATTATGCTTTAATTCTGAACTGTGTTTGCTTTAACAAAACACATTGTCGCAAAATGGTATTGTAATTGCAAAAAAAAAAGAACAGCGGAATCGGGAGGATATATAAAAGTGCTACAACATTGCTAAATTTGAACGAACATCAATACCAACTGGCAAGTTGACCACCAGACGATGCAGCACTGGCCAAAGCAGCTAGGAAAATTGTCAGATTTATAGGTGAAGAGCCAGAGATGAACTTCGGCTGACCGGGTTTAAAAATAAGCATCACCTTGTCATTGAAATATGAGCGGGTTTTATGCGACTTGATGGGCCGGAAAATTCTCATTCAGATTTTAATCTTATTTTATTCACATTCCCCTTCCCTTTTTAATCCCCTCATAATCTTTCATAAACATATACCAACTAAAATGAAAATTGTAGTGAACGTTTTGTAATTCTCATCTCTTACCTTCCTTTCTGTTCATCTCTTTTCAACCGTTTTTAATATACTTTTCTATTTTAAATAAAGCAAAAGCGTATCAAGGATTAGCTCTCCTTTTCATCAAACCAAGTTAGTGAAGATACGAGCAGTCGCTGCAAATGAACTTGAAAAAAGTGTCAACATCCAAAGGAATACAGTCGAGGTGCAGACCGAAGGTACAGTGTTGGGTAAGGTCCAGTTCGGGTGGTGCTGGCACGAAATAGCCTCGCAAGTGGAATACAAGCGTTCGATTCAGGAGAATGCACTCGGGGGAAAATGTGTCGAGAATGCTGACACCCAGACCTTTTTCAGTCAGTTCCACCATCCGCCAAGGCTGATCACAGCCGCGTCCCTCATGATGAAAGTGATAATGAAATCCTTTATCATTCATATCTTGTTCGCAGCATCACCAACCAAATAGTACGGTGCGGAGGATAGACGAAAATAAATTTTGAAGAGGCCTTTCTTTTCGCTGCCATCCGGTAAAATCACGCTTACCTCGCTCACAAGTGGTACGATACCGATTCATAACCGATCCAGTGGTTCCAAGAACCCGATCACATTTGCGCAATCAGTATTTAGAAAATTTTCTTTATTAATTCATTCATTTTCATTTGATCACATCTGCAAAATACTGTAAATTGGTTCATTTTGAGGTATTCAAATTACTTCCAGATTACTATTAGGAAGAATTGCGGTAATGATTATCGTCAATTCCTTCAAATGTTTAGGAAATTGCCTGCGTCTGATGAGCGGAAAATACCATTAATGATGAAAATAACACTTACGATGCAGGGTAGGACAACGATAAATTTTTGGTTTATGCGGCGTGACGAGCTTAGCGCTATTGCTGCGATTATCAAAAATGGTTTCTCAATAACGGTATCTAAGAACTAGCATTTCTTTTTGACATTTCGAAATTTCTTCAGTCAGAAACTTGAAATCTCACTCGGTTGGAAAAGAAATTGTTTCGTCGCAGTCTAGCAGGAGAAATGTGAATTTGCTGTTGATATTTATGCATTCCAAAATAAGAATGCATATACAGTGTTCTGGATTTCAGATGCAAAATCCGTTAATCATAACAGAGGAGGGATACAAAACA